AGAGAGAGAGAGAGAGAGAGAGAGAGAGAGAGAGAGACTACTTACTACCAAGTTACATGCCAAATCATGATTAAAGAATTCTGCTTTTCTGAATTGCAATAATATTTAATTTGGGAAACAATTTTTTCTTGATAGACCACTCTCTTTAAAAGCCAAAAAGTAAAGGGTAAGATAGCAGATCATGTTCTCTGAACTCCCGTATTTTTAATTTCTCTAAAAGAAACCTTTAGGTATTTACCATGGGATTATATCAGTCTTTTACATATATTGCTTATTGCTTCACTTAATACACACACCACTATCACCACTGTGTGACTCAGGAAGAAACTAAGGTGTCAAGAAACTTAGTAAATTACATCCAGCCCACTAGCAAGTGGCAGATTCCCGCGTTTGGGACCAGAGACTTAGCATCGAATTCTTTTTTTTTTTTTAAATGTGTATGAGTGTATTGTCTGCATGTATGTGAGTGCACCCATGTTGTGCAAGGCTGTGGAGGTCAGAAGAGGGCTTCAGATTCCTTTGGAACTGGAGTTAAGGGTGGCTCATAGCCATCATGTAGGTACTGGGAATTGAACCTGGGTCCTCTGCAAGAGCAGTCAGTGCTCTTAACCACTGAGCCATCTCTCCAGCCCCAGCATCAAATACTTGTTCCTCAGAAGAATAACAATGGCACCAAGATATGTTGTATTGCCACCAAAAGTCACCTGATTACTGGTAGACTTCACCTTAATATACAGAAACTGAATAGGGAAAATGCTCCAAAGCAAAAACACGGGGCACTTTGTTATTCTGCTTCCTTTTTTTTTGTTTTTTGGTGAGACAAGATCATGCTGTATAGCCCAAACTGGACTGGAATTCTCAATTCTGCCACGTTAGCCTCCTGAATGCTGAAATTACATGTGCTACTACATCCAGAACAAAACAATGATTTTACAAATGAAAATGTTTATTCAAACAAAATAATGGAAAATGGTCAACAAAAAAAAAAAAAACCCAAAACAAAGAATGGTGCACACAGGAAGAATCCTATTAGAACAACAAACTGTTCACCAGTCCCCGAATTGCGAATTTCCAATGCCCTTTGATAAGTGTCAGACAGCAGTATACACAGAGCCATGCTGACCATTGAAAAAGCTCATTTAACTGGCCAAGATGATGATGGGAGAAGAGGGAATTTCAATTACAGATAAAAGCTTCAGAATTAGGCTTTTTAGTCAACAGACACATCTAAAAGCCTAAAGATAATGTCGATAATAATAATAATAATAATAATAATAATTCAGTAGATACCTATCAGAACAAACTTTCTATAGGCTTATTAGTTTAATGATATAGCATTATTACAAAGATTAGTAGCTATTTTCTCTTGACAAAACACATAACACATTTATGCATCGCTGTAGCAATGGCCACTTTAACAATGCTGAGAGGAGCCTACCTAATAAGCCTCTGACATGCTGCCCCCAAATACTGTGACTAGGATTGCTTTTCAGTGCTAGTTTTACAGTGTCTCCCAAATGATCCAGGGCCAGGAGGCAGCCAAGGGAGGAGAATGCATTATTAGCATCAGGTGATGTGCATATAAACCAAGTTATACACGGACATAAGAATCACGAGTTTTCACAGGGAGCCATATACAGCCATTCCTCACATTAAGGGATGAAGTCTATTCTATTGCATCAATACTTCCATGTATCAATAGTTTTAAAATGTTTAAATTTGATGCCATTTATAGAGACCACTATTAGTTTTTATTTTAACTACGATTTAGGTTATTTCTCAGATACTCAAAACATACATTTTCTTCTGGGTGGGAATGTGAAACCTGCGTGTATACTGCACGCACTGCCAATTCAAATCACGAGGGCTCCAGAGACTTCCCAGCTTCATAATGCCTCCCCATACTGTGGTCATTTCACACTTTTCTCCCCTCTTCCAGCTGCTGTCCCTGCTCCTGGCACACAAGGCTTTCAATATCCTTGCCTCATGCTGAGAAAATAAAAGCCAGTGGATAGAGCATCTCATCCTTCCAATTCTGAACCTATAGACTTCCGTCTATCCACAGTAGGACACCTTCTTAGAGCCAGAAAGCCAGTCTCCACGTCTTCATTCAGTTTCCTCTATGTTATCACTCTCTCCTTTTCCACTAAGACACATATCCCCAACACACAACATGCTCTAGTATTTACCAACTTGGTAAAGAATTATTACGTTTATTTTGTGTGTGTATATGTATGTGTAGATGTTGGAGTACCATAGCACTTATGAGGGCCAGAGGACCACTTATAGGAATCACTTCTCTCTTTCCACTATGTAGGTCCTGGGGATCAAACTCAGGTAGTCAGGATTGGCAGGAGATGCCTTTAACCAATGAGCCATCTCACTGGCCCATATTTCCCAACTTTTAAAAACCAAACATTTGTTCTCCTCATGGTATCCTCTAGCTGACTTTAGTTCCACCTTTCTCAGAGAAGCTTCCAGCCCTCACTGTCTTACTGCCTACACACTGCCAACCCATTCCCCTGGCTCTTCTCTCAAGCACTGTGTCAAAGGATCCTTATCAAGGTCACCAAGGCAATTCTTATCCACATTTTTAAACCGGGAGACTGAAGCTCAAGGGAGATTATGAGGTTGAGAGTGAAAACACCTTCCCTTGGAGACATGAGGGACCCAGGGCTGCCCCAGAGCACTCTTTGCACAGTCACACACAGTGGACCGTCACAAGTTCAAGGCACTGTGAGACCCAGTTTCAAAAATAGTGAAGAGAAACGGAGAGATTAAGACATTTCAGATTTCACAATGTTACAAGAACTGAATTAAATCTTCAACCCTACACTAATGGCTAAAGAGAAGACTGTAAAGGTCATAAGTTCAGGAAAATGCTGTTGTTAAATTAAATTGCCTCAAGGCAAGTATAGATAGTGTATCTGCTAAATTGGTTCATGAGGACTTATGACAAGGAAAAGAAACAAGGGCAAAGCTTTCCAATAGAAGTCAGGCAGTCCCAGACAGCTTCAGCCAAGTCTAAAATGGGCCACAGAAATGAGACAGCAAATCTATGGAGCTTATCTGGGGACCATGTCTCAAAACAGAAGAAAAAAAATCAAGAGTGTTTATTAGTACACATAACTGTCTGGAAAAAAAAACCATTAAGAAACCTATGTTTGGAAGACTATTGTGCGGCCCAAGACAAAAGCCTCTCAGCTGAAGTGTGAAAATGACCCTTTGGCCCCCAACCTTGCACGTGCAGGAAGTGAGCAGACTAAGGAATTACTTAGTCCCCAAGCAAGGCAAATTCTCTAGCCCTCACTTCCAATGTGAGGAGAACAGGAAGCATCTCCCATATGGCAGAGCCAGAGGCTGAAAAACAATGAACAGGAAGGCAGACTGGAGGCCTAGGGAGAAACATTTTGCTTCCTTGAGGTGTCCGATTTCAAAACTGCTACAGGTCCATGGCTCCTTAAAATATAAATTTATAATAAAAAATATAGCAAAGACTAGGTTTGGCTCTGTATTCTTTTAATAATTCAAAAGAGATGTCAGCAGGATCCATAATTTTCCTGTACGTCAGATTTCAAAACCTCACTGTGAATGGCATGTCCCTATATTCTACTGTCCTCTGAGACTGAACATCTTCCTTTGGCTTTTAAAAAGCAATTCTCTAGATTGCCATTTGAAACATCTCTCTGAGTGCAACAAGGTATTACACTAAAAGCATATGATCTGGACATCATACTTCACAGAAGGGCAGCCAGATGAGCCAAGCAGTTCTACCTCATAATATTGTTCCTGTAAAATACATGGCAGGAACCAGAGATAGTACCATGAACACATTTCAACATTTTTCTGCTCCATCTGTGAACAACTTGGCTATAGACTGAATTGTGTCCAACTCTCTATGCCGAAGCTGCAACCCCATTATCTAGAGATAGCATCAGTCCAGAAATAATTAAGATTAGCTAAGGCCGTTAAGGGTGGGGCCCCAATCCAAAGGATGTGTGTCTCAGAGCAACAATAATGAGTGATACTTCACATAGACACAGAGGGAAGTCCACATGACCGGGGAATCACCAAGCCAGAAGGAAAGTCCTCACCAGAAATGAAATTTGATGACACCCTGATCTTGGTCTTTGAACTCTGAGAACTGTAAACAAGTTAATTTCTGTGTGCAAACAACCTGTCTCAGGTATTCTTAACAATATGGCTAAACTAAAGGTAGTGGCTCTCAAGTCATTACTGTACATAACAGTACCACCCCAAAACAAATACAACAATCTCAAATTTCTATGGTAACTCCAAAAGTTATGATTATAATTGTATCAAATTGAGCAGAAATAATAACTATGCAATTTCAAAAATGTCCTTTTAATTAAATATACTTCCATAATAAAACTGATCCAATATAAGTAGGCTACTGCTAACAAGCATTCTTTGTTTTGGGGGGGGGTGACAAGATCTTATAGTCCAGGCTAGTCTCTAACTTGCAATGTAGCTAAGGGATAACACTGGACTCCTGATTCCCCTGCGTTCACCCC